AAAGAAGAAGTGTCACCAGCATGGCACCATTTTGTCTTTGGACCCCAACTCCCTCAAGAGCACATGGATTTGTACAAGTAAGCAATGGAATTAAGGCTCCTTACACGTGTCCACACTTTCTTTTAAAAGCGAAGAAACATGGATTTTGAGAGCCCCTCAGGTCAGTGCTGGACCAGTAGTGGTCCTCGAGGGCCCCTGCCTGCTCAAAAAGTAGGGGCTGAAATTGATCCGTTGGGGAGAAATTGACCTCATTGAATAAATGGCCAGAGGCTAAAGTTATTACCAAGGATTATAGCTGTCAAGATGAGAGGAAAATGGACTATGGTGGTCATTGACTACTTTGTGAGGCACTTAGACGTTTAACCTTGTCTTTCCCATGTGGGTGGGAGGCATATTGACAGTTACTTATCCAGCAATTACTGCGGTCTGAAAATCGCAATAAAAGTTACTGGTGCCGGGCAATCCTGTAATGATTTTCCAGAATCATTACGGCTCTTTATGGCGGAGAATGGCAGAAAATTGAATGAAACGGCACTTATTGAGGTGTGTGGCACCTTTGGTGGAGCTGTTTGCCTGATTGTCATAGATCAGGGGGTACCCAAGGTGCAAAGCTCATTCATCATCTACCCAGGAACCTTAAAACGTCAGGAAGCTACTTCAAGACGGGCCTTTGAAGAGGACTTGGCCTATTTAAATGAAGTGATGTGTAGTTATTGCGTTAGACTTAGCCCATGTAGAGATGGGCTCTCATTTAGAATGGGCTTTGCGGTACCCGGTAGACATCAACCACCAGGCACGGTGATTTGTTCAGGTTGCTCTGTAATGCTCAGAAGACATCAGTTCACCAACGGTCCACGGACCACGAGAGCTTCCTGATTTGCCAGTTACAAATGAGCCAAGAAGTTTGTGGAAGTAGAAAAGTTTTGTTCAGGGAATAACCCCCTGTATGCATGTATGTCGTATGTACTAAAATTTTTTAGTCTTATTCAGAAAGAAGTCCTTCGGAAAGAGCCAGTCATTAGAAGTTGTGAGACATTTTTTTTGGCACATGTTCACACTTTAATTAGACCTCTGTTTCTGAAGCCCCAACCTTGTCACTTTGATTATCCCTAACGATTCTCTCTCTGTCTCAACGGTATCTTTGAATTTATGATCTATCCCGTGGAGTGTTGCAAAGTATTGACCCAGAGAAATTGATCCCATGTTAAGTGTGGTGAGGTGATGAATGTACCCCACTCCTCTGCGCTGGAGAGAAGTCGTTAAAGGTTTGACAAAGCTGTTTTCTGGTTTTACATGGCCGTAACTTTGCCAAGGTGTTTCCCAGGGATGTAGTTCAATGGGTGCGTTGACCTCTGCTATCAGCACAACGGCTGTTCATTAACCTCCCACCAAAGACAAAATGGCAAATCAAACACTCTCTATGGATTAAAGAAGGTGCATTGCCTGGGGATAGGATGAGTTACTAAGACTTGACTTCTTTGTTGTAAGTAAGAATAATTGCTGGAAAACACTTTGAAATTGATCCCCTGAGGTGTACATGTCCACGGATGACATTTGTCTTTCAAGTTCTTTACAAAACACAGAACGGAGGATGCGATAATGGAATAAAATCAATAGTATCTTTACGGAACAGTAGGCATGGGCTATCACATTCATCAGATGTCATTGTTAAGAAGCAATGTATTTTTATGGCCATGAAGGAGCCAAATGTTATCACAATAAGAAGATCATAATCAGTTTCATGGTGTATTTTATAATGTAGAGAAATTCAAGACAATGGCCTGTTGTTATAGGGCCTATGGCAAAGTAACAGGACAACACAATGTAACAATACATATTGCAATGTGTCAATAAAAGCTCTATGAAATGAAATATTTTCACAAAAATTGAGCGGTTAGAATAAGCTGTGTCTCTTTCTGACGACCAAATGGGGATTTCTTTCAGTCTTCTAATTTCTCTTGAGCACATAATTGTTCCTTTGAGACCTAGCATTAGAACTCTGAAATTACAAGGGCAACAAAAACAGTTTTGAAGTTTTCCTTGTTGAAGGTACCGTGTGGTTGTGGCAAGGTCGGTCACTATATAACCTGTAATTGATGGAAACAGTTATGGTAATCTTTTACAAACAGCCAGTATAAGTCATCCATGGTACCGGTAACTCTTTTACTTTGTTGTGTGTGAATAAGGGCAAAACGAGTCTAGACTTTCCTAGTCACGGCCAAACAAAGCTGGTTCACTCCATAACAACAAAGCTGAAAAAAGCTTGAAGGAGAGATATTTGCCTGACGACACAACTTTCAAATTGATGTTTTGATGATTTTCCATTTTTATCCTGATGAGTTTTCCTATGAACCGTACCTACAATTTGAGATGACAAGGTTGGCGACTGTTTGATGTAAAAAAACCTGACAATGATGTAAAAGGTTTGGGTTGTACTAGTAGGTATCATTTCATCAAAATAATCAGATCTCTTTGGATCAACAGCAGTATATGAATAAGTTTGTTTTGGAGCCGTCATTCACCAAAATCTATAAAACTTGATGGCATTATTATCTTTCAAGTTTTCAAATCTTGTTGGTTGAGAGAGACACAGGGTTTTATTTAGGTTAATGAAGACAGATTGAGGAGAGAATAGAACACTGTTGATTTTACATTGTCTCCTGCAAATGTCGTTACAAGGCGGAAATAATGATGCATTGCTCGGACCTCCGACCTTCCTTTTAAGGAAAGAAAGGATTGCGTTGGGCGTGGCTCACCCATCATTTTCTGGCGATTCCGTGGATTTCGGAGCTGTTACCTTTAAGTGGTAAATGACAAATAGATGAGAGATTTAATGAGAATTCGAATCTAGATTCATTGCCCTGCTTTAGGTCCCCTGTAGATTATGGAGAAATAATTCACTGCTAATATTTCATCTGGGATTGACACATTGCATGTATGGTCTCTTCCAATATCAGCACCACTCAGTAAAAATGATTATATCACTGTGATATTAGAATCGGGTATACATGGGATTGCATTCATCTTTTTACCTTATTTGGGAGCTACATAATGTAGTAGTATTGTTTTGTCCTTTTTTGCATCGTACCTCAGGTCAGTGAATGTCAGCCGTAATTTTGAGTGATGTTTCCACAGATAATTACAGAAATTGCTTTGGAAATGAGGAGTGTGGGAAATTGACCGGATTGGACAGGTAGAAGTATTACCTGTCCCCATGGGAAGACAAATTATTTCTCAGCGAGTAAGCCAAATATATTGCTGGAACACTGTCCACCCTTTCACTGGGTAAACAGGTCGATATAAGGTCACACTTACAGTATTTATGACAAGTACTTACATGTATAATTGAACTTGTGTTGCCGAAAAGTTTTGAAATGCACAATGTTATCAGAAGTAAGACAGAATAGAAAGATTCATGGGTGTAGGAAAGTTGTAGCTTTTCAATTTTATTACATTTGAAATTCAAACTTCGAAGTAGAAAGTAGACAAGAGTAGTTATTTACTAATTTTTCTATGTGTCAAAATTTTCACAAGAAAAGATTATAAGACTTACTGAGCAGTTACAATGTCTGACACGTTATTATGGTTTGAAACTTACAGATATAGAATCCATTGCAGGTTGCAGAGCCTGATAAAGAAAAACACCTTAGAGAAGAACAAAGTAAAGAATGCACAAACACAAACAATTTCACAACCTCTGTAACATGTTCTCATGTGGATTTCGTTTCTATTGTAGGATTTGTAAGAAAAAAAAATTGGAATTTAAAGCAATTTGTGTCCTGTGGTCCTCAGACATTAATGGGATGTAGAGCTCAGCACTGCTGTATGGTTCTCTTTTTCCGGTCATTTATCAACATCCTGTGAGAACTGTGTATTAGTAACTTGATTAGAGTCAAATCTATCAAATTTGTGAAGAAAAAATCAGGTCATTGCACAAGATGGCTGAAGGTTAAAGAAAGGAGGGCCTGTGGGAGTATCAGGGTTCTTTTCGTAATTTTTCATACATTGACCTGGCAAATATTACATTGACCTGACCTTCCATTTTGCCGGTAAGTTTTTATGTCAATCCTCGGTTACATTACGTAGTCTGGTTTTGATTGTCCATTGAATGCGTAGCTGAAGGGTATCTAATGCATTTTGTTTCTTGGTTATCAAAGCTGCAAATTGCCAGAGTGGAGGAAAATTGGGAACATGGAATGGTCTAACAGTTGGACACATGTACACATGTGAATAACTGTAACCTTCACAATGCAGGAGTTGAGGTCTCTTGAATGACAGAAATAGGTTCTCGACTGGACAGCTAGGTAGGACCGGCGGCAATGCAGTTTTAATCACGTCAATGTCATAAAATCATTTCCCAGGTAAAAATAACAGTGAACATTGAAGTTGTGGTTGTATGGAACTATCCAACGTCTTTTGTTATCCCTAATTGTAACTACTGCTGAGCTAGCCCTGCTTCTGTGATGTAAAAAGCTTTACTTGCTTCCATCACCTTTGTCATCACTTCTCTTAATGCCATGTCTGCAATTCTTGCGGCTTGCATTGAGTATATATTCTCCTGTGTTTGGTATGAAAGGAATTTCTCTTGTCTTTGCCGTGAATTTTTGCTCACGTGTGTGTTTGTGGTTGATCACAAAATAGAAATTTATGGATCAGTCTGTGGATGAAATTATAGGGCTTAGAATTTCGGTTAAATTATAGGGCTTAGAATAATTTTGCAGATAACATAATAAAGTATTTCAAGCGTTAAACTATATTTTGGAATCATCATACCAATCTGAATGATTTGTCATATATGAGTCTCTGAATCTTTAAAAACTGAATTATATGCTGGCAAACAAAAAAATCTGGTAATCACCATTAAGTGATGTGAAAAAATGTGTAAGGATTTGTATAATGGAAACATTAATGTTTCAAATCCATTTTTGATCACGCAAATTTTACATACCATGGCAACGATCTATGTTGTGACTTATACGAGGTCATTTTACACTTTTAAGCAAATCCACCGCAATTGGAGGTTGGAGGACAAATCTGCAACTTGGGAAAACTCATTCCAACAGGTATTTACTTATGTTTACTTTGTGTTGTTCTGTTCATACATTTTGTGTTGTTTGAGTGAAAATATCACCTGTTTTGTTGACACCTGTTTGATTTGATGATGGAGTCCTCGTACATATATACTTTTGGTATCATCCATACAACAAAGTACCATGATGCTTTCAGACATTCCTATCAAAACGATGAAATACCTTTCAGAAAAACATGCAAAGTTCGTTCGTCAGAAATTGGTCTTCTACACCAATGCAAATTGAAAACGGCAAAATCATAAAAGCAGAAATGGTTTGAAGTGAGCAGTTTCAAGTGAAACATATTGCTTACTTCATCTATGGTTATGATGCGAAAAAGATTACTGGACTAACTGAGTAGCTTGCAACTATCATGACAATATATTGTAGCAAGGAACCTTTTTTGTGATCAGACTTTCACAGTATGCATCTAAATTATAACAAATGTTCAACTGCAACTAAGTTCCAAACTCCTACACCATGTTATGGTTAGTTGTTAATGGTTAATATATGAGCTGGGAGAATAGTAAGTTTTTGAAAGAGAACCAAGTACAAGTAGGTCTCTGACAAAAAGATTGATACCAGGCAGGCCAGTCTTCTAGTTCATCACCACCATTTGTCCAATGGTAAGGAGCGATAGAAGCGGAGGTGTGATCGAACTGATTTGGCTTGTCAGCGGTGATGAATGAATAGAGCGGGGCTCCCTTCGATTGATGGTTGATTTGAGACTACAGCGAGCACCTGAAATGTGTCGGTGAGCTTTATCTCCCTCTAAGTCAGGTGGAGAAACCCAGATAACGCTTTTCACTAGAAGAATTTAAACTTTACGTCCAAGCAATGAACGCCTCCGTATGCCAGTTTCTGGAAGAAAACTTGAGAGGTAGATTGTAATTTAGATATATCTGCCATTCACTCCTTGAAATCCATGGAAAATCTTCTAGGTCATCTTGAAATGTTGTCCCTCCTTGATTTCTCATTCCATGCACTTTCCTCTTGTCTTCTGTAGTGTGGTACTATGTCGTGATACTTGTTTTTGTTTGTGAATTCCTTTTTCAGTTGTCTTATCTGTTAGCAAATGCAGCGCTCTGAAGTACCCTGTAATTTTCATAAGTTATGACATTCAAATCACACATATTATAAGTAATTTAAAATAGCAATGGAAAATTGTGAATTTAAGTTGATCATCTATACAAAAAATAAAACTTGCCACACGTAGCTTACATAAATTTGCATATTTACAAGTTTCAAAATAATTCTTTATGTATTTGAATAAATTTGCATATCTAATAAGCTAACTTGCAAACACTTTCTAACTTCATCATCAAAAGATATCAGTATCTTCCAGGTAACTTGTCTCTAAACATCAATCTAAATGTACAGCGTTGACTACAAACAGCACAAAATGTGACTTTTGATAACCTTAAAGGCAGAGGTCTCAAACCTTTTCAGTCCCTTCTTCTTATAGAGGATTTGACATTTTGAAAAGGTTATGTTCCTCAGTCATGACACAGGAATCATTAAGGAGAGAATGTTTCTAGAACAGAGGAAATACCAAACAAAGTTGAAAGCATGTAATCTAGGGCAAGGGAGGGCAAAAGTTTTATCTCAAAAGTTAAATGTGCCTGCTGAACATCTTTGATGTGAAAGTGTTGGCAGAGGTCATTAAGATTCACTGTGGATTAAACAGAATCATTTCCACGATTCATCTGTCATGTAAACAACTTAAGAACAAGGAAAAGTCAATGTGTGCAGCTTAATTATAAACATTTCTCCTAAAGCTAATGGTGAGATCTACATGTAGTGGGAGATTGCAGCATAGTACTGATTGTACTGGTGAAGGCAAGGGCTTTGACATAACGATCCAAGGCATTTGTGATTTCAATCCGCACCACTTTCTAGTTCCAGTAGAAGGTGCTTGGTGACATTTTAACGGTCTTTTCCGTAGCCAGGAAAAGGGCGTCTGAAGCACTTTTGTTCAGGAGTGTGTGTTACACATACTTGTGGGGAACAAGTTGTTGTGTCCTTGAAGCCCTCCCTTCCGAGAATCCCCCGGTCAGCTCTTTTGTTAGCTGGCAGCTTGTGGAGTGATGTATAGGTCAGCTCAAGCCTTGCCCCGAACCACAGGTAACATAAAAGCAAACTAGGGCTAATACATCATCCAAAGGTCAATGATGAGATATTGAGAACAATTGGGAAGCGCCCAGGGAGACTTGCTGGTGAGGAGAGATAGCCAGTTAAGCTGCTGACTTCGCCCCAGAGGACAGGATATTGTAGATGTCAGTGATAGAGTGGCAAGCAGGTAAAGGATCGGAGAATCTCTCTCAGGTTGCCACAGAAACAATAAATTACCATCCACATGTACCATTTGCGTCATTTTTGCCTTTTTGTTTGAGCTGGGCGATGAGGGAGGATTTGGGAGGCAGTTGTGAACGTATGTGTTTACATGCCCTGGTGTTGTGAAGTAATGGATATGACATTGACCAGCTACCAGTAGAATGATTTGTTAATGGCTGTCCCAGATTCCCTAGATCCTGAAGATTTCGAGTTCGAGTCAAGCTTTCTCTTCTGTCTTTATGAAAAACGTTTCACTCCATGCCACAAAATAATATTTCATTCGTGAAAAGAAAGTGCCTTTCGTTTAGTCTTTAAAGTAAAGGAGAAATTCATTACTGAGTTGTAATGTATCTCAGGCTATTTGTGTAACTACATTATATATGAGGCAATACATACATACATACATTACTCCTGTATAATATGTCAAAATGAAACTGGACTTCCCGACTTTTGCCTTCACACACATGTAACAGTTCTTGGCAGTTTTAGTAAGCAGCTGAGGTAACGTGTTGATATGTTTTACTGGTCCTTCTGGTGACGTTGATGTTGTGCCTTACCCCCGTTGGTGCCCCATCATGGTCCAAATAACTGGGTTCAAAATGGCATACCTCTTCTAGGTTTCAAGCACAAAGAAAAGAAAAAAGTGAGAGAGACAACTTCCAACATCGTTCTCCTATGTTGTGTAAAGCTACTGCTGATATTCATGACGTTATGAAACATTTTCCTGTAGAATCCATAGGTTAGCTCCCTGTGCTAAGAACTTGACGTTGTGCAAACATAATATACACCTGTGTTATGGTACACAAAATGGCCAAATCTCGGTCATTTTTCTCCATGAAACAAGTTTGGATTGTTTTTTCCAGAGTTAGATATAATAAGGATATGACAAACAGTCATGTTTTATTGGTTACGAAATGGTTGAAGGATTATGCGAGCAGGTTGAAATGACGTTGACATTGTGCGTTCCCCGAATGGTGCCTCCCTGTGTCCTACATTGCCAGGGTAGAAAGTAGGTCGACTGTCACTGAAAATGGAACAGTCCCAAAGAGGATTGATCGCTGATGTCACATGCTGCAGAGATATGTATCAGAGGAGTTCAAGTATACTCGAAAGGCAGTGAGGTATTCACTCGGATATGCCATACAGGGATAGATAATGGATCCTGAGAGGTCTTCAGAAGTCAGGAGGTCACACCAAAGTTGCTTGTTCCAGTTTTGTCAAAGTTATAACATGCGGTTTGGAGGGGAAAAAAAGCAATTTTTATGGATGGAAATTTTCCACCTGTATCCATATTTTTTACATGTTCTTATATCGATATTCCTTCTCACTAGTTCTGAACATCTTTCTCTACTGTCTTGTTGAGACAAGTGTTTTATGATCAACAATAAAGCCTGAATTGTACTTGCAGTAGTTGCACATTGGTAATGAAGCTTGATAAAACCATTCCTACTTATGTATGTAGCTGGTGTCCTGCTGTTTGTGTATCTTTTATCCAGACTTGCCAAGCGAAGATGAATTCTTTATAGAACTTGTTGGATAGCTGTTCAATATGTATCTCTTTGTTGAAGGCTTAAACGTTTTACTGAACACCATTGCATGCATTCTCACCAGATGGTTTGTTGTTGTAGGACATGTGAATTGGGCTGTGTCTGTACTGGTATAAGTGACTTGTTTTTAAAGTGCTTTAGCCTGTCCTCATTTACGGCCACCCTACAACTGTGGGAACCGGGAAGAAAATATATTTTGTAAGCCTTAGCTTCACTTCAAACATTGATGAACAGTCATGCAGTTGACTTATGCGGATGTTTCTTAACGTGATTGAGATAATTGATTGTATTGCTCAGCTTCACAGAAAGTCGGCTTCCTTCTTGTTTGGGTTCTTGAAACTGGGACCTGCTGTAATTGGGGTTAGTGGAAAGATATGACTTTGCTACACATCACTCAAGTTGATCTGGTAAATCCCTGTGGGCCATGCCGGATTTAGCCGCTCATTAATGCATCTAGGTTAACTCAATTGTATGCGTGTGTGGGGGCTATACCAAGGCAAGATCAGTGCCAGTGCATCCTTGCCTTTATAAGCAGCAGGCGTCCGTTAGATCAGCAGGCTCGGTGCATCTCCATCCGTGAAGCGCACCACGTACCGTCCTGGAGGGGGTCCACATGGAGGCAGTGGTGACGATGAGGTCAACCTATAGCAGTAACCTTGGTTACGGGACGCCGGACACTCCGCCCCTGGAACACGAGAAAGGTGTCGCACTTCTTCATTTGTAATTTCCTCCTGTTATCCTATAAAGAGAGGCAGGTGCGATGGCAAGCTGCTGGAGTAGAGAATGGCTGCTGCCTGTGTTCATGCTTGCTAGTGTCTTAGGCAGTAATCGCTCCCTATCAGATTATCTTGGAAGGCTCTACATTGCTTGAGGATCCCTGCATGGCTTTCCTTGTCAGCTCCTTATGTCTCCATCAGACCATTCCAAGGTATTTTGTGTAAAGCGATAGTTCTGCTGCTTAACTTGCCATTTTGTTGACACAGCTGTAATAGGGACAGGTAACTCCAGTCTTAGTACACACCTTGCCAATCTTGTTTGATGCTGGGTGCCAGTTTTAGTCTATTACTGACCAATGAAATGTGCTATCGGAAGATGATTTAAATTGCGATCCCA